TAGAAATATCTGCAACCCAGAGTTACAAATCAGGCAGGGTGCCAGAGGATTTAAAATAGTTGAAATGCAATGATTTCTTCCAACAACTGCTTAGAAAGTTAACAACCGGTTCTAGCGAAAAGGTGTGAACTGGTTGAATCCCACCACTGAATCAGTGAAAGACACATTGACTCCTTTTGGAGATTCTATAGTTTCCTCAATAATCCAGCAGGCATTAGCAACAATATATCACGCTCCTTGGCCTTTTTTAAAACCAGTTTGAATATTTGCCATATTCTGTTACATGTAGAGATCTAATCTCTGCAAGCACAAACATCTGTATATGCAGAGATGTATACACACCATAAACAAAACGAGCACAAGCATTTAATCTGTCCTTGCTTCCTTCTTTTCTACTAATGGGTTAATTACGCGACCTTTAAAAATATCTGATTAAAAAACCAATCAGATGGCAAAGTATAACAATTAATGTCAATGTGTTCCAGGCAATGAAATGTTCATTTGGTCCTTTTCATAAACTTGGCAACTGTTACTGCCAACACACACACACACAAAGGTATTTTCAACCATTAAATAATGTGCCCAGCTGTTGTTTGTAAGCTAATTTTTTTTTTAAAGGCAAACCTGCACTCCAGTGAATATTAACCTACTGCACGTATTTGAAAGTCTTTGCAACCCGACGCTTTGCTGGCCTTGCCAATTCCAGCACGCCTGGCACGGGAACAAAAGAAAAGTAAAAAGACGTCTGCTTTGTTGGCATTTCCCCTCCCCACCTTTCTTCAATTACTTCATCCAAATCATTTAGAAGAGGTTAAAAATCCAGACGGCTCACAGGCAACTTTACACTCAAATGCAAGTTCTTGGAAAGCACAGGGCACTCAGGAAAGCTGGCTAGGATCCAGCAGGGAACTCACAAAGCTGCTAGTGTTTTCCCATCCAGGGAAGCTGAAAAGTTGCTTCTGAATGCATGGCTGTTCCCTTCATCTCTTTTGATGGCATGAAGTTGACATTTATAGACTTCAGCTATGGTTGGTGCTCACCACAGCATATCGGGAACAGGAGGAATAATGGCAACTGCCATCCTGTTTTAATTTTTTCCGCCCACACAGGACAACAGGAACTCCCTGGGTTCAGTTTTTAAAAACTAATGACTTTTCAGCTATGAAATGCAGTTTATTGTGTGAAATAATGCTTCCACTCGAGATAAAGTTGGGGCAAAGAGCTTGTCAGCTGTCACAACATATGATACTCCAAAAACCTCTGATGGGTGCTCCAACACTGGAGGTTTTTAAGAAGAGATTGGACAACCATTTGTCTGAAATGGTATAGGACAGTGATGGCTAACCTTTTTGTCTTCACGTGCCAAAAGCACATACACGTGCACGACCCCCCTCCCACACTCCCCCTCCTGTGCATGCGTGCATGACCCCCCTTGCACCCCATTTTGGGCCTAGCAGGCATCCCTGAAGCCTCCTGGGACCAAAAACAGGGCATGGGGGGCGCTGCACCTCCCTCCCCTCGGGCATTCCTACACTGTTACAGGTGTCATGTCAGCCTTGTATGCAGCTTTATTCCTCTCTAGCATTCATCCCCATTGTTCAATGATGCATTTTCTGCCTCTCTAGGATTTACCTCTATCTGCTCCGGTGAGGCACTTCCTGTTCCTGTTGGATGTATATAGTTATATTCTCAATGGCTTGTATAGTATTTTAACTGCATTTTGATTGAACAACATGCAGTGTGGAGATCCGAAAATCAGCTGGCTGGCAGGAGGCACACATTCATGCATGGTGGAGCTCAGCAGGGGTGATGGCTTGCGTGCCGGCAGAGAGGCCTCCATGTGCCACCTGTGGCATGCGTGTCATAGGTTCATCATCACGGGTATAGGATTTCCTGCGTGAGCAGCGGGTTGGACTAGAGTTTCTCCAACGTCCCTCTAACTTGGCTATTCTATTATATTCTGATAATGGCATATTATTTGGCATATAATGGCAAAATATTATAAAGTGCAATGCAAAACCACATCATAACAAAACCACATCAATTTATTGTATGGAAATTATAGTCTAGTTCCTAATATTGTGAAAGGCTATGTGTAAGGTGACCAGATTTTCAGATTGGTAAAGAGGGACACCATTGACTGGGGGGGGGGGGGG